CTGGTTGGTGGAGGAGTGCAGATCCACAGCGCAGCACAGAGTCTGGTTCAGCCGAACTGACGCTCTGTGTGTCTTCTCCGAGGTCCCTCTGCATCTCTGCGGTGGTCCTGCCAGGCTCCTCTGAAGCTGCACACTGGCTCCAATGGAACCACGTGTCACCTTTGCCTTTTAGACGGACTGCGTGTGACGTCCTCTCGGTAACTCGGAAGGGGCCGGTCCACCTGGGTTCTGACCACTTCCACTTGACGACTTTCAGGAGGACCCACTCTGCCGTGTGTGGTTCGGGTGCCTGATTCCCAGGTCTCGCCTCCTGGATCTGTTTGGAGAAATCTGCAACGAGAACTTGCAAACCATCATAATATGACCTCGGATTTCGCTCCCCCTTTTCGTCGGGGGTCCAGGATAGCCCTCTCTGGGGTCCTGGGAACTGCCTGCCTGTCTGGAGCTCAAAGGGAGTGAACCCGGTCCACCTGTTTATGGAACACCTTACTGACATCAGTGCCAGCGGTAAAGCGTCAACCCAATTTATTTTAGTCTGTGCACAGATTTTTGCCAATTTTTGTTTTATTGTTTGGTTCATTCGCTCCACCTTTCCCTGGGACTGCGAATGATAGACAGTTCCGAACGCATGTCTTAATCCCAACGCTTTCTCCACTTTCTGGAGGTCTTCATTCTTAAAATGGGTCCCATTGTCTGACCGAATCCTGTGGGGAAACCCATGTCTCGGTATATACTGATTGATCAGAAACTTTATCACTGATGCACCATCCTCCTTTCTTGTGGGCCATGCTTCTGGCCACCCTGAGAATGCATCCACACACATCAACACATATCTGAACCCCTTCACTGGAATAAGCATATCTGTGTAATCTATGATGATTTCTTCCCCTGACCTCGTGCATGCTGGAAACTGTCCTTTTTTCGGCTTGACTGTGGGTCGCAAGTTATGAAAGGTACAGGTCGCACAATCTCGGACGTGTCCCTGCACCATGTCTTTCATAAACGGGTGCCACCACATCGTCAAGTTTTCTAACATCTGTCTCACCCCTGCATGTCCAACCCCGTGAGCCTCTGCTAGAACTGCCTGGCGAATGCCAGGGGGAAAGGCTGGTTTCCCTTCCTTATTCTGCCACAGCCCCCCCTCCTTGCATCCCCCTTTTCCCAGCCACATAGTTTTCTCCTCTGGAGAGGCTTTGTCCTTTTCTTGCTTGACTTTCTCTAGGGTTAGTCTGTCACTCAGCCTAACTTCCTCCTCAACCGTGACCATCTGTTTGGTCACCTGGTATCCTGCTGCCCTTTTTGCTTCTTCGTCTGCCACCTGATTTCCCTTTGCTACCATTGTTCCTGACCCTTCGTGGCCCTTGCATTTTACTACGGCTACGTTCTTAGGAAGCATTAGGGCTTCTGCCAGCTGTTTCATCTCTGCTTCGTGCTTTATTGGCTTGTTTCCCGCAGTCAAATTCCCGCTTTATTGGCTTGTTTCAGTGCCTCAATCACGGCTATCACTTCGGCCCTCTGAGCTGACTGGGCTCCTTCCAGCCTTTCTGCCTTCAAGGTCACATATTCTTGGCCTTGTCTGGCCACGACTGCATATCCTGCCTGCAAACCTCCTGTGTCTGTTCTGAAACAACACCCATCTGTGAACCAATCCTCTGTCCCTTCTATTTTCTCGGCTTCCAAATCTAGTCTAACTTTCTCCTCTTTCTGAACTCGGTACTCACACATATGTGGTTCTCCCCAGTTCATCCGGTCGGCCATATTAATCCCTTCGTGGGAAAAATTCAAATTGGGTGCCTCTAGTATTTTGCTAAATCTCTGCTGCCTAAGCGATGTCATGGTAAACGTTTGTGAGTTTACATAAGTCACCACGCTGTGTGAAGTCAGAATATGCAGTTGGTGTCCCATCACTATGTGTGCTGTTTTCTGAATAATTTTAGCCACTCCCGCTGCGTATCTTGTGCATGCAGGGTGTCTTTTTTCTGTAGTATCCAGTTTTACACTAACGTACATCAGCACTCTCCTTTCTC